GAGTGGGTGGGGAGAAAAGTGCAACAATGAATGAATTCCACAATCTCTGTAGATGTTCACTGAAATGAAAAATAAATTAATTCATAAAAAATCTTCTTACTTGTAAAATGCAGACAACAGTACTTAGTTTATATAATGTGTCCACTATCAAACCAAATCCACTACCATCAAGCCAGTTCTGACTCTTAGCTACTTTACAGGACAGCATAGGCTGTGGCTTCGTGGCAAGGAGCTGTGTTGTCAACCGAAAAGCAGGTTGTTCAAATCCGCCAGTTTCTCTGAAAAAGAAAGTGGGGCAAACTCTTCCTGTGTGATTTGCCACCTCTGAAAACCCACAGGCTGAGCAGTATTTGCTCACTGATAAATGGAAATGAGAACTACAGGGAAGAACTGCAAAGAGTTTGATTATATTGTGAATTATTATATTAATATTATAAAACAAAATGTGCATGAATGGTTGAATTGAAAACCAATTTGCTTTGTAAATGTTCACTCAAATCCCAATTACAAAAACAAAAACACAACCCAAACAACCAGAAACCAAAACAAACAACAAACCCAAGGAAGAATTGTGATATAGAAGAATACTGAATATACTATAGGCTACTAAAAGACCAAATAGTTATTTGTTTGAAATGCAGCCAGAAAGCTCCTTAAAAGCATTAAGTAGATAAAGATCTTCGCTCAAGCAGTCAGAGAGACAATACGTCCAATAGGTTGAAGCAGGACCTCTTGGAAACACACCATGAGTGAGGAGGGGAAATGAGATTTCACTACTGGCTCCCGTTTCACTGGCGCCTGTATGCAGCCAGGAAAATAGCCTGCTGACTGGTGGGGCCAGGGTGCCAGGTTTGCTGGGGTGGGGCTTTCCCTTGGCCTGGGCTTCCTCTTCCTCCGCCCTGGCTGTGCAGCAGTGTGTCACTGGTTCAAGTTAACTTGGGAGTTTTCCATCCTTTGACTTTTTCTAGTTGAGAGTCTGCAGGTGTCACACCCCTGTGGTGCCTCCCCCTGACCTGTAATGTTCTGTTTTGGATGTGTCTGTAGGCAGTGCAGAGGTATGTGGGCTTGGGAGTCCACTGGGCAGACTGCACTGCAGTCCTAGCCCTTCCAATATGGTTGCATGCAGGTTACTTCTCTCTAGATTCGGTTTCATTATTTGTAAGCCAAAATCCATCATGTAGGTAAAATGTGTTGTCTTAAGCTATTTTTAAGTTGCTATGTTTTAGCACTACCATCCATCTGCCAGCTTGTCATACTGTGGTGGTTTGCATGTTGCTTTGGTGCTGGAAGTGATCCTGTTTGGTCTTTCAAATACCAGCGAGGCCTCCCATGATGGACAGATTCCAGACTGAGACTAGAAAGAAAGGCAGAGTGCTTCTGAAAACTACCCGGTGAAAACCCTAAGAATTATACAAAGTGCCACCCAAGATAGGGATAGATGATGTGTGAGGCCCTTAGGCTGGAAGGACTAAATATACCCAGGGGTCACAGCAACGACCCCGAACAAGCCAATGATTGTGAAGATGTTGCAGGACTAGGCAATGTTTTGTTCTGTTTTACAAATTTTCACCATGCATTGGAGGCAATTTGATGATCAGTAATGATCACAGAGATGATGAGGATGGCACAGGATGGATGGGGGTTGGGTGTGCTGTTTGTAGGGTCCCTAGGAGTCATAGTCAACTCTATAGAACCTCGCAATAACAATGACCACTACATTTAGCCACAGTGAACTTCGCTTTGATGCTCCAGAACTTTCCTCAGTGTTTTTCATCTTTCCAGGTCATTTTCCCCCACAGCCCCTTGAACTTGAAGAGTCCATTTCTCTCCCTCTCCAGTGCTTTCATCTCAGTCCATCCCCTGTCCTCTTACATGTATGTAGCCACAGAATCCTCTTAAATGATCTTCCTGATTCTACTTTTGGGTTCCTTCACTTCTCACAAGGATATCTGAGTGAATTTTATACACCTCTACCTGTGTTGAAATCCCGAAGGCACATGGTTCAAATCCACCTGCTGCTCCCTGGGAGAAGGATGGACAATCTCTTCCTGGGAGATTTAATGGCCTCTGAAAACTTGTTGGAGGGCCAGCCATGGGTCAGTTCTGACTTGATGGTACAAAACAACAAGAACAACTTTGAGTGTTTAGTGGGAAAGGTGGATATTAAATAACAAAATATGTGCCATTGAGTCAGAATGCTCTAGCTGACTCTCTAGCAGGTGCTCAAGGGCTGTAAATCTCACAGGAGGATGCTCTGGTGGCCTAGTGGTAAGGAGCTGCATTGTCAACCTGAAGGCATGGGGTTTGAATCCAACCAGTGACTCGGTGGCGAAAGATGGGCAATCTCTTCCCATGCACTTTTTTGTTGTTTTTGTGTGCAATGGAGTTGGAACTGACCCATAGCTGATCCTCAGGTGAGTTTTCAGGGGCAGTTTAATCTCCTGGGAGGAGACTGCCCATCTTTCACCAGCAGAACAGCTGGTGGATTTGAACAATGTGTCTCAGGGATTGCAGCACAGCTTTTTACCACTAGGTCACCAGTGCTCCCTCCTATGTGATTTACTGCCTCTAAAAACCTGCTGGACGGTCAGCTATGGTCTGGTTCCTATCATACAAGAGCAGCTTACACCACTTGACTTTGGGTTAGCTGCATACCTCTTTACCCAGTAGGCCACAAGAGTTGTCATATCCAAAAAATAATGGTGACAATTATGAAGGAAACCATGGTGCATGCACTTTAGATGCAGAGTGTGTGGCTTTTAGCACAAGTTTTCTGAGGAAGTGACATTTCAGGTTAGACACAGAGAGTAAGTAGAAGTTTGCTAAGTGGAGGGTGGTGATGAGTGTTTTAAGCAGAGAAGAGTAGAAGAGAAGACACTGAAGCAAGAGTGAGCTTGGCTTTTTCTTGGAAAGGAGGTTAATATGGCAAGAGTTTAGAAAGCATGGGGGGGGGGTGATTCACGGTGTCTTGATAACAGCCTCAGGACAGTCTCATGTCTTTAATATTCTTTAAAGGCTCTGCATTATCCAGCGCGACGAGGCTCTCCAACATTAGTTTTGTGTCATTTTCTTCTGCAAAGCTAAGGCCAAGGTCTTAGTCTTGGAGAACTCTGATGCTCAGAGAAGTGCACCTACTTCTTCTTGGTTAGGATTGGTGAGAGTTAATCAAGCCAAGGAAGAGAGGGTGACTTAGGAGGAAGACAAGTGCAAAGGAAAACTTCTGGAAGATCAGAAATAAATTCAGTGTGACTAAAATGTTGTGGCTGGTAGTTGTTTCCAAGTTAGCTCTAACTCATGAGCCATGTACAACAGTTTCTTCATGACCTCTGGTAGGCTGAAGCTTAGGTTGTGGCCATTGTGAATGTCACGGTCATGCTGTGAGCTGTCTCTGTGGCTGAGTGGAGTCTCTCCAAGGGTGGCCCAATTTCCCGCATTCTGAACCTGCTTTCCTGGTAAGGTAAAGGACATGCTGGTATGAGGGGATTGTCTCCTCCTGTAGGAAATGTAATGAAGTTTCCTATAGATTTAAACTTGAAGTGCAGTCAGAGTGTTCCTTGGAGGCTAGGATGGTAAGACTTCATTTCAAATACTTTGGGCACATGTCGAGAAGGGCCAGACTTCAGAAAGGGACATCATACTTGGGAAAGTCACTGAAGGACAGGCAGACTTTCAAGGAGATGGTCTGACACATGGCTGTAATGGGTTTAAGTACAGCAGAGGCTGTGAGAAGGGTGCAAGAAGATCAGGCAAGTCTTTGTTAGGCTGTACACAGAGTTGACAAGAGGCCGTTGACTCGCTGTCACCTAATAGCAACAGCTAGAGAAAAGAGGAAAGATGTGAGGGGATACACTGGCCCTACTCCAAGGTGCAGATTAGGGTGGGGCTAAGGGAAAGTCTGGCAAAGGAGAGGGTGGCCAGGAGGGAGAGTCCTTAAGGATCACTGTGTGGAACCTAAGGTGGGGTACTCTGTGGCTCTTCCTTCTGTCAGCCCAGTCTTTGAGAGTGCCTTGTTATCGGGACAGCTGAATCTCAGCTCTCCCTGGGCAGAGTGAGCATAAGCAAAGTTCAGAGTTGGGGTAAAGCAGATTGAGGAAGATGAGGAAAGCAGCCAGTGCCTTACAAACAAAAGGTTAAGGACACCAAAAGGGGACTAGCAGGACCCTGGGACTTAACCATGTGTTCAGGTATTAGAGAGGTGTCTGCCCTCTGCAGGTGGGAGAAGATAGGGACATCTGAGTCCCATTCCTTTGTTACTCAGTATGTAAACACTGCTTTTCCTGGTTCCTGTATGTGGCTGGGACCTGTGTGGAAGGAAGAGAAATTCTAGACACAAAGATGTCTCCCAGAAATGAAGGTGTGGGGTGGGCTCTGCAGAGCAAAGATGGCAGGAGGGAGGAGGGGAGGGAAATAAGGGCAGCATTCTGTTAAGCAAGGGCAGCAAAACATACAAGAATTTGAGGAATTCATGTAACTTTCATTATTTACCCACATCTTTGCCCTTGTCTTCAGACACTAGTTCAAATCCATAGCAAATCTCATCATGTTTCTTACAGAAGACAATGCAGGAGGCTTTGTCTGATCTTGACTTACCCAGCAGAGCAGCAGCAGCAAGAGCAGCAGCAAGTGCCTTTTCAGACAGAAGCAGGCAGTCCTTAAGGCCCAGAGAAGATAAGTGATAGTGAGCCAGCCCGAATCTTGTGTGATCTGTGTGGTGACAGGCACAGGAACAAGCAGCATTGCCTTGGATGAACTGGAGCCCCTTCCCTAAGGTCTTACTTCTCCTCTTTCCCATCCCCAAGCTCTAGCTCCTTGAGAAACAGAGAGGGCACCACTGTAGGCAAACACCTTTATTCTGCTGTGTCCCAGATTCTCTAGGGCAGGGATAAAGAAGTTGGGTGGAGTCAGTGATTACAGGGACTCCAGCCCAGAGCTGGGAACGACAGCTTCATGGTCAATGCTTCTTCTGGTTGAGGTTGAAGATGGCCTCACTATATGTTGGTCTGCATACTAAAGCCCTTCTCTGATTCATGGAGAGAAGGAAGCCGAATTCCGGCCAGGGGGTGCAACCCTGGGACCTGTTCTTGCTCTTGGATCTGGTCTCGGAGTCGCTGGATTTCTAGACGCTGCATTTCAATGATTCTCCAGGTTTCTTCTTGTTCATTCAGTCGCATGGTGGGAGCTGCACTGGATGCATCCTTGCTGGGTGCTGTGAGGGGACAGAGCAGGAATAATGGGAGCCTGTTCTTGCCCTGGTTGCCCTCCTTCCTCTTTAGTCACTGAGCACCTACTCTGTGGTTGGTGCTTGAATCCCAGAAGCTAAGGAAAGGACATGACAGCATCTCACTGTCTAGCTGAGGTGGAGATGTGGACAGATACACTTCAGTGTGATAAGTCAGATGCCGAGTGTGGCCTGAGCCTAGTCACTGTCTGCCCTGAGCCTCTTCAGTGGAGGCTGCCCAGTCTTTCATGTGCCATACTAGGCAGGGCAGCAGTGTCCTGCTGACCTGAGCTGAGGGTTAGGTGGACGGGGATTCATTAGACTCTCCTTTCTATTTTTGCATATGTTTTATGTTTTCAGTCATAGAAAGAAAACATAGCTGGCTATATTCTATAGCAGCATGAGGAGGGCCTGAATATTTTTGCTAAGAAGGGTAGGCAGATTGGAAATGTTTTTCTTAAAGAGAAGTTTTGCAGTTGTTCCTAGGAACATTATTTGCCATTCTCTTCCAGAAGATGGTTTAACTTCTGAGACAGTCAAGTAGTTCAGTCTTTATAGCACCTGGGAGAAAAATAGGCAATCTCCTCCCATGTGATTAACTGCCTCTGAAAACCTGCTGGAGGGTCAGATGTGGGTCGGTTCTGACCTGACAGCAGACACCACCATTACCACATGAGATACTTCTATCAGTCCTTTGACCTGATAGTGCCACTTATGGTGCTACTTATAAAGTTGACTCCTGTCTCAACTTCTCTTCAATTCTAAATGCACATGTTGTTGTTATGTGCCATTGAGTCGCTTGTGACTCATAGCGACCCTATGTACAACAGCCCTAAACCCTGTTCTATCCTGTGCCAGTCTCACTGCCTCTGACACACCCATCCCAAGTACCCCAGTCACTGAATTAATCCACCTCATAGAGGGTCTTCCCCTTCTGCGCCATCCCTCCAACCTCCCAAGCATGATGTCCCTCTCCAAGGACCTCTCCCTCCTTACAACATGTCCAAATTATGTCGGATGAAGCCTCAGAATCCATGCCTCCAAGGAGTAGCCTGGTTTAACCCTCTCCAGAATGAATCTGTTTGTTTTCTTGGCAGTCCAGGGTATATTCAATAGTCTTCTCCAGTAACACAGCTCAAAGGCATCAATTCTCCTTCTATCCCCCTTGGCCATTGTCCAACTCTCTGATGTATAACAAGTGATTGCAAAGACCACAGCCTGTCTCCAGAGTGACACCATTGCTCTTCAGTACACATGAGACAACAAAATTATACACACATATATACATACACACCGAGAACTGTATGTATATAAATAACTTTTATATATGCAGGCATGTATGTACATGTGCTACTGTTGTGTGCCATAAATTCCAAGTCAGAGCAACCCTATAAGACAGAGCAGAACTGCCCTATTGAGTTTCCAAGGCCATGGAAGCAGACCGCCGCATCATTCACTAGCAAAGAGGCAGAGAGGTTATAACAACCATTGACCTTTTTGGTTAGCAGGGAGCATTTCACCACGGCACCGCCAGGCTCTTTAATTTTGAAATAGATTTTAAGATTTATAAGAAGTTACAAAATATTATAGAATTCTTGCATACTCTTCAACCAACTTCCCCCAATGATAATGTCTTACCTGACTGTAGTACATGAGACAACTGATATTTGATACCCAATTAGATGTCATGGATGGTAGTCAGTTGACCAAGGTCTCTATGAGCTTTATTCCTGAATAGAAAGCATTAGAAAACAGCATACTTGAAGTGTGCTGGCTTTATCATCCATAGAAATGGTGTGAGCTACTTTGGAAGGTGGCCTACAAGTTCAGTAGGTCTGGGCCAGGCCCTGAGAATCTGCATTTTTAACTGGCTCCCACGTGATATTGCTCCAAGTCAGCAGGTCAGACTATACTCAGCAGCAAGGCCTTTGGCGGTCTAAGTGCCAGCATGTAGGCCAAATCTACAGTAAACTGATCTGTGCCAGTTTTACTTTCTGGTTTTACTGTCAAGATGAGAAATAGACACCAAGGAGAAGTCTCAGTTATGGTGCTGCTGGGTTTTTCTGTTCCCTTTTTTTCCATCTCTGTCTACATCAACCCACAAAGATCCACTGCACCCACACTAGTCCCGGCACTTGAGGCTGGAAAACTTTGTGCCTAATGGCCGCCCCACCTGGCATGTCCTGGCTGGCCTGTTTTCTAAATCTTTGAGGTCTTTGTTGCAACCACATGGCTGTTGTCAGGTTGAGCTGCAGTTGTTTTACTGGGGACGTGGGAACAACTATACCTGTGCAGGTTTGCAGTGTGTGGAGTCATGCATATGTCGATAGAGGAGTGGTTTTCCCTCTACCAGGAGGACCTCCTTCGAGACCAAGCTTTTTTAATTCAACTCTGGAAAGGGTATATCAAGGGGGATGGCCGAAACATTCTACGTGACAGCGCCACAATATGCATGGAGACCATACCGGCTTGGATGTGGGACTGCCCAGTCTGTGGGTGGTGACTGCCCTTTTCCACTGACAACCTGTCTGCTTTGTCCCACAGCTTGTGGTTGATCAGATCCATGGGGATGTGCTCTATTTCCTGACAGAGCACTGTGATGGGCTCCAACATGGGAAGCTGGGACACCCACTCTACTTCTGGTTTTAATTTGTCTTCATGAATGCCCAGTGTTCAGTGCTGCCCAGAATCCTTGGGCTTGATTCTGTGAAGCATCTCACTAATGCCAAGACCTTGAAAGGCAAGAGCAAGCAGAACTGATGAATGGTGGGCTGAACTTTGACTGCTGGCTGATTAGGAATTCATCACCTACCAGAAGAGCTAAATCCTGCTCCCACAACTCTTTAAGCTGTGGCAAAATTCATCTATCAAACTGAGGCTGATGAGTGGGCACAAAAAAGACCGAAGAGAAGAAAGAGAAAGAGGTAAGGTGGAGCTCCTACTAGGAGAGCCAATGCGATTAAAGCACAGCAAGATCTAGGAGGTCGATAGTGATGATATTTTTCTAGAAATAAAGGATTTTTATTCTAAAAAAATTGGATACTTAAGGAATGTTTCCTTATTGTTTGAAAGCCTGAAATGAAATACTTCCCAGTGTGTTATTTACTATTTATTTAATAAATATCCTTTTAACAATGGGCTTGAACATGGTGGAGAAGACAAATGTAAAGATGGCATTTGTTGTTGTTGTTATGTGCCATCGAGTCACTTGCGACTCATAGCGAC